GGACATATATGAGTCACTTTTAATTTCCGTTAAATGAAGGGTATATGTGAGCCATTTTGTAACGGCAGGGGTATATGTGAGCCGTTTGTATAACGGTAAGGACATATATGAGTCACTTTTATAACGAGGGTATATCAGCTCTAAATGACAAAGTTGAGGGTTATATCAGTAGCTTATATGACTTGTTTTCAATTAATAAAACCAGTGTGTGATCTTTATTGTGTTTCTATTGCTGTCATTGCAGCAAGTTTATGACAAGGATACATTTTCTTACGATGATAAAATGGGGGACGCAGAACTTGACATCGTACCATTTATAGATGCAGTAACGATGACGCGCTTTAAGAACATCCCCAATGGAGTCATAATTTCGAGAATAATGCCTAGCCGGCAGAATTGCTATTCAGAAGAAAGTCGTATTGTGTATGAAGATGGCAAGGTTGTTCAAAACGCGTTTCTTAGGTTGAGGAATGTTGAGTGTGGTGAAATAGAGCTTCAGTTGCAATGGATAGACGTTCCTAGTTCCAAGAATCTATAGCAGCTTATATTGTGAGAAAAGCTAGATTCTTTAGTTACCTATATGAAAATATTAAAACGAACTTATCCTTTTGTTGTTGTTGTAAACACGGCTGGCCAAAGTTGTTGGACTTTGAGGCTAAACCACATAAAGACCCAAGAATTAGATAGCCCAGTACTTGTTTTGTTTGGGATCCAGGTTTAGTACACTCTAAATGGTATTATGAAGAAACGGTCTTTTCCTCCCATCTTCTTCTTCTTGAGTCTTAACTTCCCATTCCCATTTTTATGGCTATCTTTAGTTACTTGCATTTCAGTACTTTTTGTGATTCTAAGTGTTGTTATTATAATGGTTGAATGACCTAAAAGATTAATTTTATATTTGGCTTCATTTGTGTTGAATCTTTGTACTTATTACTTTGCCAATTAAACTCTTAAACTCATAAGAATACAATATTTTAAGTCCTTTTCTCCTTCGGTCAATGTGAGTCTAGTGGTTACAGTTACACATAAAATTTCACATCGTCTTTTACTGCCATATGTGAAATTAAATGCTAAAAAAATAATCAAATACATCAATTCTTTAATATCTTGAACTTTTCAAATAGTCATCTTCTTTATATTTGGTCATAAATTGAGAATTAGATTCATACTCATTAGATCAAATTCTTCTTGATTTAGCTTGTAAATTCATCTACAAGTTTACCAACATAAACTCAAATGAATCCCAATCAAAATTTTTGATTAATTTTACAAATTCACCACACCCATTTATTATTTTTAAAGCTTTTTCAAGTTTATCAATGGAATTCTAAAATTTTCAATTGTCACAATCCTTCAAATTAACGACATTATCTTCTTGTTGAAACCATATAATAAAAGAATGGTACTAAAAATTTTCAAACCTAAAAAATGAAAATTTTAGAAGAAGTTGAGGCTATTAATTTGTATAAAAAAAAGAAGAAGAGGAGGAGAAGAGTGAATGTGGGAACGGAGAAAGAAGAAAGTTGAGGGTTGTGGTGAGGGGTAGAGGAGAGAGGGCTGATGGAGAACAAGAAAGGGTGGTGAGTGGGTGGACGAGGATTGGAGAAGATGAATTTTATATTTTAATTTTGTTAAATTGATTTTTTTAATGTAAAATATTGTTTTAACTCGCTTTGAAGCGCGTGTAATCACACGTATTTTCAACCCACTAATATTAATGTCACATAAGTTTGGTTGATGGTCAGATGATTAGAATATTGTGTTCGATGAGTTTAAGGGTTTGATATGCACAATATTGAGTAGGAGGGTCCAACTGACAAACGAAGTGGTCGCCTAGGTCATTCTGTTGATTATAATTTGATTATCAATGACTATAATGCTTATGTATCTATACTGAGAATTCAGATTTGTCTCACTTACATGTTGACAACAAAATTTGCGTCTGATAATCTGATCACACAAATCTATTGTATTTCTGTGTTATTTTTGACTTTTCAGTTTTCACTAGTGTTTGATATCCACTTTGAAGAGAGTGTGTTGCATGTCCAATAAGGAGAGAACACTTCTATATCATGACTTTATTATTTTTTAGCACTGAAACATCGAAATCTTTAGTTAAAGATAGAGATGTACCATTTATCACACCAAACCATAGGTGCTTCCAAAATGTATTGGAAGTTGGTCTAAAATGTGGCTTTCAATAGTTCTTTCAGCAGTATGTAAAGATCATTGTTCTGTCAAAGAATAGACCTGGAGGATTTGGATTTGAGCCAAAAAGCAATGCAAGCTACTAGTTTTGGAAAATTGCAATTTGTGAATACTCCTTTCACCTAATTTGCTCATTCTTCTACCTTTTGGATCAGAAAATGTTATTAGAAATACTCAAATATAGGACTAGATAAACCAGCAAAATTTTGGACTAATGAAAGGTTTTCTTGATATTACAAGTATGATCTTTCATTGTTACTTGAATGTAGGCTCAGTCAAGAGAGTTAGAGATTCGGATAATCACACAATTTTAGATAATTTGTCACTCACCCCAACTCATATAAATTGAGTTCGAAGTTAGAAGGGTAATTTTTTTCTTTCGAAAAATATAAACGGCGTATTAAATTTTTATTTTATCAAAAGAGCTAAATCGTTCCTGACGGAGCGATTCTAGTGACAATTATTGAGCTCTTAATTTTTTTTCAAAGATCATTGCCTCTGCAACGTTTTTCTCAAAAAATATTATTTTTAGAAAACCAAAATAGAGCAGCCTTTTATAAAATAAAAAATAGAAATTAAAATTGAAATTGCTGCATCGCAAGCGATTTGCTTTAAATCCCTTTCTTTTTAAACCATGACCGTCACTTGATTTTTTTAAAAAAGTTTTTTAAAAAAAATTGGCAGCAATTCTCTAAAAAAATTCAATGATATCGCTGCTTGAATTTTTTTTTAAAAATAAATAATAAAAAAACACATCATTTATTATCATATTTTTTTCAAAGTTTTCTATCATTTCAAAAAGTATCAAAAATTCCTTTTTTGAATAAAGATCCGATCAAGTATAATTAGGTCAAATAATGTTAAATGGTGTTATAGATTCATGCCATGTATACTATATAATAATTTATGGTTAAGATTCATTTAAATTATATACTCATTTTAATAATAAAATTAAATTATATACTCATCGTAATAATAAATTTAAATTATATACTCATCTTAATAATACAAACAACAAAGTTGTCAACTATTTTTATTTTTTAAAAAACTATCACATAAAGCAATAAGTGTACCTAAGATTGACGTGTGCGGATCGAGAGTTGACAATAAGACTCAATTGATAATGCAAATACTTTCAATCAGGTATAATAAATTTTCTTTTTTCAATCTTAATTTTTTCTAAAAAAATATTAGCTTGAGTATATACTTAATTGCTTTATTCGTCAGTTTTAAAAGATAAAAATAGTTGACAACTTTGTTGTTTTAATTATTAAGATGAATATCTCAACCATAAATAATCATATAATACACATGACATTAATCTATAAGGTCATTGAACATTACTTGAGCTAATTATATTTGACCGGACCTCATCATTTTTTTTCTGGATACATTAATTTGGAATGTCCTATCCATGATTTTCCTTCTTTTTTTTTTCATTCCACAAATCTCTCCACAGTTACTTTCATTAATCTATTTTTGAATTTCAATTTTTTTCTCTTTCCAATAAATGATTTCAAGTTATGCAAGAGGTAGATTTCTTTCCACCACTTCAATTTTCAATTTCTTTTATTTGTTTTTTTATTGTTTTCATCTTAAAAATTACTGAATCGTTTACCCCCGATCTTTTTATGGAACAGAGGTGGAAAATCTTTGCAATGCACATAGTTCATCCTGGAATGCATTTGAAGTGGTTGTAGAAATTTCTGATGGCGGTCTTGATAGACTTCATTCGTTGGTTCGATCTTTCAGTTTTTTGGGCTTACTTTTGATTCTTAAATTAGTTTTTTTTAGTGTTACCATTGATGTGATACATCACTTTCACAACCCGAGTCTACATCCTGGACGTGGTCGGCACTCGAAGTCCATTGCTGGTCCCCGAGCGAACCCTCATCCTAGCTGACTACAAGCGGAATACTAACTTAACCATATAAAAGCTTAAAACTGATATAAAATTCAATAAACTCAACTTTACAAGACTTTAACTTAAATGAACAACTTTGAATAAAAATAATATGTTCAACTAGCCATAAAATAGACAACTTTAGTCTTTTAAATTTTATTAAAATAAATGAACAATACAAACTTCTTAACTAAACTGACTATCTTTGAAGCCTCTAACTGACAAGGATGGAAGTCGGGACAAGACCCACGACCTTCTAACTAAACTGAAAAGTAAATAAAATCCTCCGAAAGCAAGGAGGCTCACCATAGCTAACTCAAACTCTCAGATGTATCAACGAAGCTTCTGTTGATGATCCTGAATACATGTGTCTGCATCATGAGAAAATGCAGGTCAAATGTCTCAGTACCTCTTCTCGAACTTAAAATTCAAAGAATACTCAAAGTACTCGACTTACTCAACTCATCATACTCAAGGATAAGATACTCAACTCAGAGATTAAATACTAAATTCAAGGATATGATATACTTGACTATGGATACTCAACTCAATATAAAGCAATAATACACATGCTATATATAAAAAGCTTTATAAAACAGTAAAAGAAACTTAGTTCGTTAAAGAAAATACAATAACAAATTAAACTTTACATATATAAGAAGGTAATATAGTTTCTGTAGGAGATTCTCTAATCGATAACCACCACTATGAGTCTAAGTAATGATACAACGTCTCGCCCACACTTTCAAAACTTTCATATATTTTGTCATCGCATAAATCTCCTTAACTTAGTAGATCCACTAGCTTAACTTACGTGATCATCTAAAAAGTATGACTAATTAATACCCATAATGACTACATGGTTTCATGGAGACTTGAGTTAATATGAACTCTCATCTCCACATCGTGCTCAATACTACTCTCAAAATATATTTTAGCTCATGTGTCTTTAAAACAACTTCCTTCTTTGGGTTGAGATAATTGCTCAACACTTAACTTTAGAATGCTCTCTTGGAATCAATGTTCCCTTTTCTTACTCAAAACTATTTTGGAAATCTTAGTTTCCTCTTTTAACATAAATGTGAAAATATTTATAAATATTTAGGCAATACTTAGTCACCATATACTTCTTTGAAGAACAGAACTTCAACTTTACTCTTTCTCATTCAAGTCTTTAAAACAAGTTTTAAAATAATTTGTAAAAGAACTTCATAAAAAGGGTTCATGTCGAATTATAAACATGAACGACTCAATTCAAGGTTTTCAATAACCATGCATAAAACTCAATACATGAACTCCAAAACTCAAAAAAGTCAATGATACTACTTATCTCAAGAATGCTTGATTCGGAGGGTTCATGCAGAATTATGGGCATGAACTACTTAACTCAATGACTCAAGCTCGGCTCAGAGGGTTCATGCGGAAGTATAGACATGAACTACTTAACTCAATGATTTAACGGGTAACATGTAATAGTTGCATGATTAGGAATATAATCCCAAAAGGAATAAGGAACTCAATATTTAAGACTTGAAATTTGGAGATACTAATCCTCTCAATGATACTCAATTTATGGAGTTCATGTGGAAATTATGGGTATGAGCAACTCGACTCGAAAGTCTATGTAACTAGATGGAACTCATGTATACAGATCTTCTCATTCTCGTACTTACTTTCTCAAAACTAAGTCCAAATCACTGATGGATCTCAAAGACTTCACATTTGAACTTAAAGACTTTCTTGAACTCTACTCTTAACTCTCTCTTAATGTGAATTATGAATTCAAGAGTTATGGTTCATGATATGA